AAGGAAGGAAGGAAAGAAAGAAAGAAAGAAAAAGAGAGGACAGAGGAAACAAAAGAAGGAAGGGAGGAAGGGGAGGGAGGAAGGGAGGAAGGGACAGAGGAAGGAAGGAAGGAAAGAAAGAAAGAAAGAAAAAGAGAGGACAGAGGAAACAAAAGAAGGAAAGAAGGAAGGAGAAAGGAGGGAGGGAAGAAAGGAGAAAGGAGGGAGAGAAGGAAGGAGAAAGGAGGGAGGGAGGAGGGAAGGAAGGAAGGAAAGAAACAAAATAAATGAGGGAGAGAGGAAACAAAAGAAGGGAGGGAAGAAGGGGAGGGAGGGAGGAAAGAAAGAAGGGAAAGAAGGGAGGGAGGAAAGAAAAGAAAGAAACAAAAGAAGGGAGGGATGAAACAAAATAAAGAAGGAAGGAAAGAGAAAGGAGGGAGGGAAGAAAGGAGAAAGGAGGGAGAGAAGGAAGGAAAAAGGAGGGAAGGAGGGAGGAAAGAAGGAAGGAAAGGGGAAAGAAGGGAAAGAAGGGAGGGAGGGAGGAAAGGAAAGAAAGAAACAAAAGAAAGGAGGGAGGAAAGAAAGGAAGGAAGGACAGTTGATTTAGAATAGAATGGAATGGAATGGCATGGCATGGCATGGCATGGCATGGCATGGCATGGCATAGAATAGAATAGAATAGAATAGAATAGAAAAACAGAGTTAGAAGGAACCTTGGAGGTCTTCTAGTCCAAACCCCTGTTTAGGCAGGAAAGCCTACACCACTTCAGACAAATGGTTTTCTAATCTCTTCTTTAAAACTTCCAGTGTTGGAGCAGTCACAAGTTTTGGAGGCAACCTGTTCTACTGACTAATTGTTCTGACTGTCAGGAAATTTCTCTTTGGTTCTAGGTTGCTTCTCTCCTTAATTAGTTTCCATTGCTTCTTGTTCTACCCTCAGGTGCTTTGGAGAATAACTTGACTCCCTCTTCTTTCTGGCATCCCCTGAGATATTGGAAGACTGCTATCACGTCTCCCCTGGTTCTTCTTTTCATTAAACTAGACATACCCAGTTCCTGCAACCGTTCTTCATATGTTTTTTGTCTTTAGTCCGCTAATCCTCTTTGTTTCTCTTCTCTGCACTCTTTCTTTACAACTGATCCTTGCACTTACAACTATTGAAGCATCCCCATAATCACGTGATCACTTGAAGGCAGGACAAGGAACAATGGATGGAAACCAATCAAAGAGAGAAGGACCTTAGAACTAAGNCCAGGAGTGGACAGGCACCAGTATTTATAACTTTGCTCTCAGTCTTGGACCAATCAGGCTAAGATAAAACCCACATGTGACCACTCCCTCCTCCCCTCCGAAAAGAGAAGTTCAGGTAACACCAACGTCCTTTTTCTTGCAGACATTTCATTATCCTAAGTAGGTAACATCATCAGTGCTAATAAGGATAATGTTACTTAGTTAGTAGGGTAATGAAACATCTGCAAGAAAACATGCAAGCTCAGAGAGCATCAATGGCCCCTAATCACAGGTCATTATACATCCCTTAATTTACTTTGGCAAATATACTGCATTTCCTGGCAATAAGTCACCCAAAGTGCTTTGCATAATTGTTTTCCTTTATGGCCACCTTTCAAGATGAAGAGAAGACCTCTGCAAATAAGCCATCATTCTTAACAAATATTATTGCTATTGAATGATTGATTGTGGGATTTTATTTGTCAATCTTGTCTTTAGGAAACTGGGTGCAAGTGAAGGAACAATAAATCAAGAAATTCAACGATACCAACAATTAGAATCAGTAGCTGTCAATGACATTCGCCGAGATGTGCGTAAAAAGCTACGCAGATCAAGTATGAGGGTGAGCAATTTTAAAGCTCCTTTTCAGTCATATCAATTCTGTTTTCATAGTATTAAAAATAGATAGAACATTGTCACATATGCCAAAAACAAGATTTAAAGATACTTTTTTTGAGAAAGAGATATTGGTGGGACGTCATTCAGTACTGGGATTTTTCAAAAAACAAAGTTAAATTTAAATCCACTTCCATCTAACTTGAAATCTCCTTCTCCATCAATTCTTCATCAATCCTTCCTAACATCCTCTAAAGGCTTTTCAAAGGTAGCAAAATATTTCAAGGCGAGAAGCAAAAAGTTAATTCTATCAATTGCTGTCTGCTTGCACAGCATTTTGTTTATAGCTCCCAAGTCTCTAACCTGTTTACAGTATATACTATTTTTATAACTGCTTGGGGCTTTATGTTAGGTTCATAGACATCTAAGTCTGCTTGTTTGTGGATTGCAACTATTTAGTCTTGCGTGATCCTTAGTATTTTATTTGCCAAATTTCAGAATTATGCAAGAATACTGTCAGATTAAAATGTGAGAATAATATGTTTTGTACATCTCAGGCAGCATCTCTGAAAGATAAATGGGGCTTAGGATATAAACCCAGCTATAGTCGATCTAAAGGTATTTCAACTTCAGGAAGACCACCTCTGAAGAGAATGGACAGAACAAGGTAAGATGGGATAGGGATCATTTGTAGATCAATAATATTTTGATTTTTGAGTATATGTAATGAAAAAACTTATAAAATAGTTGTTATGAAGACTGTGGCCAGTTGTAAGTCATGTACCGCAAGAAAGTAAGCTACATGCCCAGAATGTTTTATATCATCACATTGAGCCCTTGTGAGCCCAAAGGCTTATTAGAAATAATGATGAACCTTTGTTTTGCATCATGTCCTCTTTAATTATTTCTGTTTAATGTTATTTTTAATTTGTTAAAAGGTGAGGTTTCTGTTAGGCCCCATTGGAGGTACTTTCCTTGACTTTGCCAGCGATAGAGATAACAGTGATTTGAAATATATGCTAATATAATTAAAAGAGCCAGTGCCTTTAAACTACATGCTTTCTTTTTAGGTTTTTTTAAAATATTTGAACAGTTGCTTAAAGTGTGTTCAGGTTTACATGTATTTAATTTTTAATTTTACTCATTAGTATGACAATAGCTATAACAGAAATGTGGCATTTGGGGGGAATGGCAAAATATGTACTTCTAAAATATGAGTATTTATAAATATCATAATTCCTTGTTACTGTAATTTTATTGTACAAGGCTTGGGGAAAGTGAAGAAATTCCAGAAATTTGTGTTGAAGGGCCATCTGCTGGGTCCAGAGTAATTTTCAATCTACAAGATATGGTAAGGCAATCCCTAAGAAGTTCACTGAATGCTTGGGTAAACATGTATGCTATGATTATTTCTTTTTATTTGTGCCAGTGCCATATATTTATACACACACACACTCACACACACTGTAGAATTGGAAGATGCCTCTACGTCAGCGGGGTCAAACTTGATTTCATAGAGGGCTGCATCAGGATTGTGGTTACCCGCAGGGGGCTGAGTGGGCATGGCTTGGGCAGTTGTGGGTGGGTGGGTGGGTGTGGCCAGCTGATTGCCTGTGGTGGCCTGAGTGGAACTGGGAGGAGCCACTGTCTCCAGCAGAGTGGATGGGACCAAGGCAGGTGCTGGGGGCACCTGGCTGTGCTTGCTTCCTTGAGGCTGCTGCTGCTGCTGTGCTCAAACTCCTTGTCTGGACTTTGAAGAGGCTGAGGAGGAGACTCCTGCTGGAGAGATGGCTGCTGGAGTGGGCTGCTGCTGTTGATGCTGCCGTTGTGAAGTGAGCCAGGTGGAGGAGCACAGGTGGTCTGGCTGTGGGGCCCTGAGGTGCACGGGTGCAGGGCTGCTTCTTGGGGACAGGGGCTCCCCGCCTTTCCCGTTCATCAGGGCTGTTGGAAGTGAGACATGCTCCCTGGAGGATGAGGTTGGATGGCGGGGGCCGAGTGCTCAGGAGGGAATGCAAAGTGCCTTTGTTTCTTGTGTGCTGCCTTCATGGCTGAGATTGGGCAGGCAGCCTCCTGGCATGTATAGAACGGATTGCATGCCTCCCCCCATGCCTTTGCCTCTGCCTGCTGCATGGACTGGGCCAGTGGTGATGGCACTCGAACCCACCTGTGCTGCATGGGCTCTGGAGCCCCGGCTGCTTTTTGGGGATGAGGCTCCCTGCACTTCGTTTTTGCTGGGGCCATTGGGGGGGAGGGAGGCTCGTCCCACGTTTGTGGTGGAGCTGAAGGATGAGGTTGGTTGGCGAAGACTGATCCTTGCAGCGGTACCAGCAGTATGCAGAGGCATGGGAGAGGCATGCAATTTGGCCCCGTGGGGTCAGCCATGTGGTCACCTGACTCATCCTAGCTGCAACGGCCTTGCTCAAGCGAAGACAGATGGTGGGCCGGAGCAAATGGGCAGACAGACAGCTGTCCGGTGCATCTGGCAAGCCAGATCACTGCCTCCCTTTGCCCCTCTGCATCTTCCTCTGCCTGCTGCTTGGAGGGCCAACCCAGTGGTCACAGTGCTCAGATCCACCTATGCTGCGTGGTCTGCGAAACCTCTTGTATGTGTGCTGGGGAGGGCTCGGCTGGGCAGAGGAGGCCAGTTCCTCGCCGTCTCTGGGGCAGTCCTATGGGCCAAATCTGAGCCCATGTCTGTTTTCAGGTCATCTACTCTTAAGTCCCTGCTTGAATTCACAATCTGCTAAAGCATTTTTGGCAAATATATATCTATCTATTTGAAAATCTATAGTGAAAGCTACATATTACTTAATGGAGCAGCCTACTCCACTAGGTGACCATTTTTACTGTCAGATACAGTTGCAAGAAAAAGTATGTGAAGCCCTTGGGATTACATGGAGTTTTGCATGAATTGGTCATAAAATGTGCTCTGAACTATAGATTTTCAAATA